AATTTGGTATTTTATTTACAGGGTGTTCAAAAATTAGGAAAACATGAAATCGATTTAAAAGAGAAGTAGTAGGTACCTAGGAAAGCTTTCTTTTTAATTTGTTTAAAAATTTTTGTAAGAAAAAACTGTTTGTAATTAAAAACGAAGTCTGAATACAAAAATTATGACGGAAATTATTAAGTTGATTTTTCTACGATCGAGTTTATTTATATTTTTATTTTTGAGTCATTTCTGTTAAAAAATAACATCCACTTAGTAAAATTTGGGATCTTTGCTTTGGTTAAAACTTGGGAAACAAAATCTATTCAAGACATTTTAAATCCCAAATTTAACTTTGTTAATGTTATTTTTTTGACAATAAAAATATTTATATTTATATAACTTGATTCTGGAAAAAACAAAGAAAAATTTAAAGTTACATTTTCCGTCGTAACAAATTTTTCTTATAAAAATTGTGATTTTTTAAATAAAGCTACTTCTTTCTTATATAAAACTTATATTTTGGTACTTTTGAATAATAAGGTTCTAAGGTTCTGTTAATATACAATATAAATATTGCAGATAAGGCATTTTTGCTTAACAAGGCAGCTGCACTTAAATCCTTGTCATTCTAAGGTACCGATTTTCATAATGTTTGAACACCCTGTATATAAAATCTAAAAAAAAATATCAATCTTATTTTTCCCACGAGCAAATCTTTTTATTTGGAATGACTTTTCATAAAAAAAAACAATAAGAAAAAACGTTCCGTATTATAAACTCAATCCGGGGACCTACTTTATACAGTATACATATATACATATACATATTGTAATATAAAACGTCAGAATAAAAATAAACAAAGGTAAAAATTAAGTAATATAATATACCTACCTATAGGCTGTAACGGATAAATGATAGGGGTTATAAAAACAAGAAGAAAATTATAATATATATAAGTATCTATTAAATTAATAAATAACATTAACAAAAATAAATTTTTCTTTACATGACAAAAATAAAATAATACTTATTTTTAAACTAAATTAATAATAAATTATTAAATTAATTAATTAATTATTATAACAAAAATAAATTTTTCTTTAAATTTAAATAATTATAAAATATAAAACAAATTAATTAATTATTTAAAGCAGCAAATAAGCTTACTGCTGAGCTATTTATTAAATAATGACGAATTTTTAAATATAAAGTAATCAAAAAAATTGAAATTTTTTTAAAACAGGATTGTATTCTAAGTATAAAACATAATGTGCTTTAAAGTACATTAAATGCTTTATTGATATCCCCAATTGGTATTCTGTCAATGCAAACATAAAATGTTCCCTCATATTGGATGATGTATGGCTCCGGCTGCATTTTTCCCTTTGCCCTAATAAAGGACAAACAATAAAACTTATCTTTTGTCCTTAATTACTTAATATTGTAGATTAAGCTTAGCATGGCATTACACAACTATTATAATACGTTAAATATAATATAATATTACACAACTATTATAAATCGTTAAATATTACCCCAATTTGTTTGGTAACTATAGTTATAGAGGACAAAAATTAAATGTCATCTAAAATCGAATTCCAAGCATAAAACATTTTTTTTACAGATTAACCTTAGCGAGCGAGATTAAAAGTATGTTATATTCGAATTACAATTTAAAAATAATAATTATTTAAAAAACTCTTTTTGAATTAATTTTATCCTTTAAAGAATTAATTTCACTCCTTTAAGGCTGGAACCATCCTATTTTACTTAGCTAGAATCTAGAATCTAGAATCTCAATAAAGTTAAATATAATTATTACAAACAAACTTACCTTTAAGCCGATTAATTGACTCATCGTCCACACCCTGTTATTTTAATATTTCTTCCATTTTATCACATAAAACACTTTCACCTCGCGTCGAAGCCTTTCTATGCATAAATGGCTTGTTTAGTATATCACAACGCTTTGCGCCCCCTCTACGGTAGAGGCTCTACCGCTTTCTTTAAGATGAAATCAAAACAAACACTCATAAAGGTCAAACGTTACAATGAATTTAGGTTCATAATTGCAAAAAATGCACAATCCTACTATGCAAGGATTTTTAATTGTAAAAATTTTACTTTAAAAATTAGGTATATAAGCAGTGAATTTATGAGTTATGGAAATAGTACTTTTTATTTAAATTATTAATATTTGAAATTTCAACTTTGAAATATTTACATAACTTTTAACAGACTAAATTTAATATTAAAAAAGAGAAGTAAAATTTCAAGTTTAAAGAGTATTTTATTTAAATAATTAAGGAATAAATTTCAATTTAAAAAATACTTTAAACTTTTATAAAGACAGAATTTTCGTTTGAAAAAAATAGTATTTTTATTTAAATATCTAAAGAGTGACATTTTAAGTTTAAAAAGTACATATGACCTTTTTAAAGAGTGAACCGACGTCTTCAGAAAAGAGTACTTTTTATTTAATTAATTAAAGATAAAATTTTAATTTAAAAAAATACATTTAACTTTTATAAAGATAGAATGTTTTGATTGAAAAAGAAAGTACTTTTATTTTAATACTTAAAGAGTGAAATTTCAAGTTTAAAAAGCACATTTAACCTTTATAAAGAGTATATTTACGACTTAAGAAAAGACGACTTTTTATTTAAAACTTAAAGAGTGGAATTTAAAAAAACTCACCTTGTTTTAGTAAATTCCATTCTTTTTTATTCGTTTTCATTTAAAAAAGAGTATTTTAGATTTCATTTTATTTTTGAGGACAGATTTCACTCTTCGGGTTTAAGAGTGTAAGCTTTTTTTCACTAGCATCGACATTTTGGTCATTAGTCTTTTAGATTTTTTAAAACTATGTTTTAAATTTAAAATAGGATATTCTTGTGATTTAAAGGTATCCAAAATAATTCAAAAGTGCACATAATCAGAAAAAAGTGCTTTAAAGGGGCAAAATATCTTAAAATGTGTCCAAGAGATCCAAGATCATTATTAATAAATAACTATTCTAATAAACATGATATAAATATAATAAAATAAGAATTAATAAATTGTATTAAACAAAATCTTGTTACTTATTTCTTTAAAAAATGAACTGTTGTGACTTTAATTTGCATTGTTGTTACGTCAAAGTTTGTACTTAAACTTCTTAAATCGTCTTTTATAATTTGTATTATTTATTGTTCTTGTTAAGTATCTCTATAGAATTTTTATTTTATTAAAACATTAATAAAGGTATTATATCGAACATAAATTTTGCCTCAACTTATTATATATATATGTATATATGACCGAGAGCAAACAAAGATAAAATCCCTGTATAAAGAATAAAATACGAAAAGCATTTTAGAATTTTATGTATCTAGACTTGCCTCTGCAAATATGACTTAATGAACTAAAATTATACTACTCAAATAGAAAATATATAGGATAAGGGTAGTAAATGAAGTAAATTTTCAATGTACAAATATAAAAAGAACCCTGTAATATAATGAACTCTCGTATATCTCAGCAAATTGAGTAAAGAACGGGTCATAGAACCTCATCAGTTTATATATGATTTTTCGTTTAAGCATGTTATAAGAAAAATATAAAAATTGCAATAAATGTGGCGAAAATTTACTGTAAAAAAATAAAGGTAAGGCAATATTATTTATGTAATAAAATATAGAATGGTTCTGTTAAATTAAGTGATGTTAAACATATGAATTATTATTAAATCCTAAAACAGTATCGGTTGCATTTGCAGGAAACAAACTGCATTATCAATGTCGGTGTTTAGTTTAGTTTTTAGATGTTTCCATTGATTCCCCACACAAATATTTAATACTTCTGTAATTACAATACTGTAGTACGTGCACAAAGGCTTTTAATATTTACTTTTGGTTACACAAAATGGGTATTTTACTAGGGCCAGGAAATGTTAAGACTCCCGAATACACTGCTAATTCAAAATTAAGGTATATTAAATTTTTGTATCTATAAAATCATATAAAGGTTGTTTTTTTAAACTTTATAATATTTAAATTAATATATTGCATTAACCCTTAGCAAGTTACAAATGTACTAAACAAAGGGGTTCTTCATTTTTCTTATACGTAAAAACTATAAAATTGTTATGAGGATATAAATTTGAGCACAATAAAGAATATCGATAAAGTTTATTAGGTTTTATTAAAATCGAATATTTCCATATTTTGGCTCCATTATTTTTTTCTTAAAGAGAATAAATTATTGTATGTGTATACATAAAATTTTTTCCACTTTAGTTAAGTTTAAAACAAGTGGTCATATTTTAACAGGTGTTGTCTTTAAATGGTAGAAATTTCAATATCCCCTAATTTTGTAATGAAGTTTATGTCGCCATTTGGTCTCCATTGAAACCAACGGTGTGATTTTCACTTGTTTTCCTTTGCCGACCGCAACTTTTATTCCTTTTTGACTCGATAACTAGAATTATTAAATGTCTGAAAAGTTCTGAAAAGTTCTCCCAGGGAAAAAAGAAATCTCAAATGCAAGATTTTGTAAGAATAAATGAAGGAATTTAATATAGAATAGTGGGTTAATGAATTTAAACTGATAAAATTTATATCAAACCTGTTCTTTGCAGTTTTATAATGGTCTTATACGTTACTTTTATAATAGTGGTAACGAATGTATGTATTTTTTCCATTAAAGTTATAGTATGGCAATTCTGATATGAACTTTTATAAAAAATGTTTCCTAACTGCAAAATTTGTAAAAATCTATATGTTTACTGTAAAGTTTAAATATTGTGAATTTACAACATAAAAATAATTTCTTTTTTTAATATTAATGGGCCGCAAACACTTTTTCTATGCACATGACCTTTATTTAAATATGTTCAAAATATAGTTTGAAATAATTAAAATCCATAGTTTTATCAACATAAACACTCGAAATAAATCTTGTTATCTAATCAAAAATTGCCTATTACCAAGCAATTACGTAAAACAAATGCACTATTCAATAAAGTTACAAAATGAGAGATTTAACGTTATTTCTAATATTTATGTTAGTATTAGAATCAAAATGTGCAAACATACTATTTTTTGCCTCAGCGCCAAGCTACAGCCACCAGAGCATGTACCAACCAGTTTGGAAGGAATTGTCTCTAAGAGGACACAAGGTAGTAGCCATAACCCCTAACCCATTACGAGATTCAACGTTGACGAACCTTACAGAAATCGATATGAGTTCGATGTACGAAACAATTAAGGTAACATTTTCTCTGTACCATATAAAATTCAATAGTAATAATAAGATTTTAGAAATTAGTTCCGAAACAAGGGTTACAGAAGTTGCTTGAGAAACCCAGTTTTTTCATGGTATTTCGTAAAGATCCCATAATGACTTACCTTTTCAGTAAGTACTCTGAATTGTTTTTCCAACATGAAAATATGCAGAAATTTTTAAAAGAAGATAGACAATTTGACGTTGTTGTTGAAGAATGGATTTATCCAACCTTTGCAGCATTGGGGGCAAAATATAATGCCCCCTTAATAGGAATTTCATCTTTAGGTATTTATTTATTCATTAGGTTTATATTTCCCTTGACGGGAACATGCAAACTCTATTCAAGGTAAGAGTTGTGGAATAATGTTAATAATTTAAATATAAACATTTAAGGTGCCCCGATCCCGGCCCTGGACACCGTAGGTAACCCATCCCACCCTGTGTACGCCCCTGACCACAATCTACCCGTGGGTAGAGATATGACTTTCCGAGAGAGGCTTATGTCCGGTCTATGGGCTGTTTACGTCAGAGTACTTTACCATTTGGTAGTTTTACCAAGGGAAGATGCCCTGGCTAGAAAATATTTAGGAGATGATCTCCCGTATCTAGGAGATATCGAAAGAAACGTTAGTCTAATATTATTAAACAGAAATCCGGTGTTCCACAGGGTTATGCCTATGGTGCCTACTGTGATTGAGTTAGGTTATATGAACCGTAGTCAAACAAAAAAAGAAATGGACCCTGTAAGAAATACTATAAAACTAATTAAATTAATTTTAATAAATATTAATTTTGGTTTAGGAGCTAAAATCGTTTATGGATAACTCAAAAAGAGGTGTTATTTACTTTAGTTTGGGTTCGAGTATTCCACCTTCATCAATGGCGAAACCAATTTTAAACGCCATCATTAATACATTTGTTAATATACCTTACGATGTGGTGTTTAAATGGGACGCTGCAGAGTTTGAAAGACCCAAACATATTCTTCTCAGAAAATGGGTACCACAGTCCACTTTACTCGGTAAAACAATTAATCAAAATGTTATATATAAACTGACATTTATTTTATAGCACATCCAAATTTGAAGCTTTTTATTACACAAGGAGGTTTACAATCCAGCGACGAAGCAATTATTAATCATGTGCCAATTATCGGAATACCTTTCCAATCTGATCAACACTCAAATGTAGATACGCTAGAAAAATACGGCATGGGAAAAATGTTAGATTATGAAGACATTACAGAAGAGAGATTGACTAAACTCATTCATGAAATAACCTCTAATAAAAGGTAAATTTGTTTTAAGAATTAAATTAACCATTTTAATTCAAAGAAATGGTAAACTTATCACACATCGATTAGGCAAAACGCAAACGACTTAAACGATTAACGATTAAAAATACAAAGCATATATATTTAATTCTTTACAGTTACAAAGAAAATGCCGTAAAACTTTTCAAACTTTATATAGACCATCCAAAGGGCGCTGTAGAGAAAGCCGTATGGTGGATTGAGTATGTCATAAGGAATAAAGGAGCCACCCATCTTAGATCTGCATCCATGGACATACCATGGTATCAATATCTTATGCTTGATGTAATAGGGTTTCTTATTATGGTATTTGCAGCCATTATTTTAATAAATATAGTTCTAATAAAATTAATAATTAAATTTGCCCTAATAGTTTTTAGGCGTTATAAGAATATTAAGAATAAAAAGAATAATTAAATTATTTAAATATAAACTGTTCAAACTACATACTGTTATTTTATTTATATCACTGCCTTTTTAAATAAATTTAATAATGGTATATTATGTATTTAGTTTGATAAACGCCATTTAAGTCACGAGTTTAATTATGTTAAATTATTTCTCAACTTTATGAATTGGAACTGCATACACCAATGATTTTAAATATCCCCACACACAGAAGTCGAGTGGATTTAAATCTAAAAAACGAGGAGGCTACGGAATTATCCTTTTTTGTCCTATCCATCGGACGGGTTCAACTTCATCTAAATGTGTCCTTATGTTCGTTATAGATAAAATCAAGTACAACCCTGACATTTAGTTAGATAAAATCAAGTACAATTCTGACATTTTACATAATGTTTATTTAGAATCTAACGTAATGCGGGATTCCTGTCAGGCTGGTCAAACACCAAAACACCACGTAAATTAAACCCAATGATAAATGATAATAGCCCACCCTTTTATCTTTTATATTTGGTAGTAGTATGGCTTGATGTACATATATTTTTTCGTTAAAGATAAAATAAAAATAGATAACGATATATTATCTTTTTTGCTTTTGGTTATAATGAAAATTAAATATAGCTGTTTAAACTTTATACTGACCAGCTAGTTGATGCTTTGGAGAAAGCTATCTGGTGGATGGAGTATGTAATAAGATACAATGGAGCGTCACTCTTAGACTAACTTAGCAGACTTACCCTGTTATCAACATTTTATGTTATTCGTTATTTGTACTGTTATAAGTTAAAATTTTAAATAATTTATTTTTGTAAAAAACATTACTTTGATACATAATATTAATATATTTAAAGATACAATATATCAAAATACAAAAATGGCTCTTATCAATATATATTTGTATAAAAATATATTTTTAACATATTTTCAAAAAATTGCCCTTAAAAGCTTTGGAAAAATAAAGTTTCTCTTTAATACTTTTTTCTACTCCTATTACGGAATATGACCATTATATCACTTTTTAATGCGGAATGACATATTTTCCCGAAAGTATTACAGAATGAATTATTCTATCATCGGATGACGGAATAAACACTGGTGGCGACATCTCTGTGTTTAATATCTAACAAATTTAGTGAAAAACTACTAGTTATTTTCTAGCAAGTAATTTTTTAACTTGTTTAACCTGGCACATGGTTTTTTCCGAACAAATTACTTGTCAACAAGTTTATTAATTTTTTATGGCAACATTGTTAACACAAAAGGCAAGTATTTTTTAATTTCTGCAAAATAAAGACAGTTGTTTTTAAAAATAATACCCATTTTTTCTTGGACGATTTGAAATGGAAATATATTTAAATCAGAGGAGCAACAAACCTTTATTATACCTACTTTAAATATAAGCTTTGTCGATCCTTTGACTTGCGACCAATAGGGGCAGTACAATTATATAATTATTAGGTAAAATCTCAAAAACAGAATGACCTTAAATTCCTGACAATACACACTAAGACATCGGGGGAAAAGTTGTAAAGTTTATTTTTATTAGAAAGAATGCTTTAACATCATTTTTCAACCTTGGTTTTTAATTTGTAAATAGTTTTTCATAGTTACTAAACATCAGTTTAAAAAAGATGGAAAGATAAATTTCAATAGGTTAAACAAAATTCGAAATCTTCTTAATTTTTCACCTACTGCCATAAAATAAATATATTGTGATTTTTTAGTTTAGCAGGCAAAAATACAAAAATAGTAAATGTACATTTTGTCTGTAAACCATTGTTATTAATACTAATCTAAGTAAGATAGGTATTATAATGAAACTTATAACATATTTAAATTTACGCAGGCACTAAGTAGGTATATATTTGCAAAATTAACTGTAACATTTATTATTTAGACTTATTTACTAAAATGAACGTGTTACTTGTTGGTTTTATTTTTATTGTAGAAATTTTATCGGTTTTTCAATGCGCAAATATATTGTTTTTTGCAGGAGCGCCAAGTAAAAGTCACCAGGTGATGTTTCAACCGGTTTTTAAGGAGTTGTCACTTCGAGGTCATAATGTTACTGCCATAGTGTGTAGTCCATTGAAAGACCCGAAGCTAACAAATTTAACCGAAATCGATTTGGGAGGGCTATATGAAATAGTATATAAAGAGGTAAGTTTTAGTTATATTTTTGAAGTGAAATTATACACAGGAGTGCCCAATCGTTCGGCACTCGGTACGTCAAATACATTTCTATCTTCGCGCTAAATTTTAAATGTTAGTTTTGAATACATTTATTTTATTTTATTTATTAAAATGTAATATTATTTTGTATTGACCAAATAACTATTTCTGTATTATTAGGGTAACGAAGTAAGAGAAGCAATGAAAAAATATATTCAACTAAAACCAGATTTACTAACAGTCTTTTCAAAAGACATGGTGTTAAAAAATATATATCATCAATTTGGAAAATACATACTGGACATGCCACAAATGCAAACTTTTTTGAAAGAAGATCATAAGTTTGATGTTGTGATAGTTGAATGGCTTTACCCAACATTTGCTGCCCTAGCTGCCAAATATGATGCTCCATTAATTGGTATAACATCCTTGGGGGCGCCTATATTAGCATTGGATACTGTAGGGAACCCATCGCACCCTGTACTTGCCCCCGATCAGGATTTACCAATGCCAAGGGATTTGACTTTTAAAGAAAGATTGATGTCAGGTTTATATGCCGTGTATGTTAGAGTATATTACCACTTAGTTGTTTTACCTAGAGAGGATGCTCTCGCAAGGAAACATTTCGGTAAAGATATTCCATATCTTGGAGACATCGAAAAAAATATTAGCCTTCTTTTGTTAAACAGAAACCTGGTATTCCACAAGGTGATGCCTGTGGTGCCTGCTATAATTGAGTTAGGGTATATGAATACAAATAAATCGGTCGGAAAAATGGATCCCGTGAGTTTATTCAAAACTAAAGATTATTACAATAATATTAACAAATATTGTAGGAATTACAAGATTTTATGGATAAATCAAGGAATGGAGTAGTTTATTTCAGCTTGGGTTCTAATGTCCAAGTATTGGAATTGCCAAAAGATAAATTAAATGCTATTCTCAACACTTTCAAAAACATCAAGTATGACGTTGTATTTAAAATTAATAAGGATACTTTAGATAATAAGCCAAAAAATGTTTTAACCCGGAAGTGGGTTCCTCAAGGCGCCATATTAAGTAAAACTTTCAAATAAATGGTTATATTATTTTGTAACATAAATTTTAGAGCACAAAAATACCAAACTTTTTATAACACAAGGAGGATTACAGTCATGTGATGAAACTATAATAAATCAAGTACCTGTCATAGCCATACCGTTCATTTTTGACCAAATTACAAATGCTGATAGACTAGCTAAATATGGTATGGGTAAATACCTGGACTATGAAGACATAACAGAAGAAATATTGACCGAATATATAAATGAAGTAATTACAAAGCCAAGGTAAATATAACTTTATTATTTAATTAGCTATTTTTTTTTTAAATATATTTAAAATGGGAAAATTAAGAAATATTTAGTCCTTGGTCCAATGTTTGTCTTGTAGAAGCTAACAAAAAAACAGTAAAAAAAAATCACAAAGAATATTACTTGCTAACTTAACCAAAATCTGATTAGGATTTAATAAATAACATATTTCTAGTTACAAAAAAAATGCAATAATTTTATCAAAACTCTACACTGACCAACCAACTGACGCTTTGGAGAAGGCCATCTGGTGGATAGAATACGTAATAAGGCATAAAGGAGCTTCACACTTAAGGTACCCATCATCAGATCTGCCCTTGTATCAATATCTCATGTTGGACGTATTGTTTCTCGTTTTTCTAGCTCTATCTATTTTAATTTTCATTTTAATAATAATTGTTAAATTATGTATCTGTTTAAGTAGAAAAATGTTTGAAACAAAGACTAAAAAAGAATAACATAATTATTTATAAAATTGTAGATACAGTAAGTGTTATAGAAATCAAATGTAACTTGGTCCGACCGAATAAATTTAAATTTTTACAGTAGAAATATTCTTTACATCTGCATTCGATAAACATATAAAAAAATTAAAAATTTAAATCCTAAAAACCCTGTCATTAAATAAATATATTGTGATTTTTTAATTTAGCAGGCAAAAATAAAAAAATAGTAGTGGTATCGATTGTACATTTTGTCTGTAACCCAGTGTTATTAATACTAATCTAAGTAAGATAGGGATTATAGTGATACATATAACATATTTAAATTTACGCATGCATTAGGTAGGTATATATTTGCAATATTAACTGTAACATATATTATTTTGACTTATTTACTAAAATGAAGGTGTTAGTTGTTGGTTTTATTTTTATTGTAGAAATTTTATCGGTTTTTCAATGCGCAAATATATTGTTTTTTGCACCATCACCAAGTAAAAGTCACCAGGTGATGTTTCAACCAGTTTTTAAGGAGTTGTCACTTCGAGGTCATAATGTTACTGCCATAGTGTGTAGTCCATTGAAAGACCCGAACCTAACAAATTTAACCGAAATCGATATGGAAGTACTGTATAAAATAATTTATGAAGAGGTGAGCTTTATTTATATTTTAAAGTAAAATTATGCTATCACAGAATACAAGATTGCCAAAAATTTTTTTAAAATAAACTTGTACATACATAAAAATGACAAATTTAATAATGGAAAATGTCTTCGTTGGCAGTAGTCTTATTTTTTACTTTTACTTTTTACAATTTTTGCAACTGGCTTTGCCAACAATAATAGCTTTTTCAGATGGATTTTGGTGATAGGTTATTCCATGTTTACCCAAAATGGAATTAATAATTTCCGCTACACACCTGTTTGGGCTGTAGAGACTAATTTTTATGATTTATTTACTGATGTGTGGACAGGTATTGTACATGGCATGTTACTGGTAGGACTCGGAGATGACTACCTCCATTTTTGGCAAGATATTCTCCCTGGAAAATGTTCATGAAAATGTAATAAGCAACATGTGGTTATTGCACGATAGGCCGCCGCCTCATTTTAGGTGTGAAGCAAGAGAATTTTTAAATAAACAGATTCCTAACCAGTGATCGGTGGTGAAAAACCTATCACGTGTCCTCCAAGATCGCCGGATCTAAATGCTTTGATTTTTTTTGTACAAGTGTATGAAAACTGTTTCTGAAGGCGCGTCATTACATTTGTTTCGATTTGTTTTTATACTTATATTTTTGTCAACGATAACATTTTAAATTGTTAAATTTGCCAGTGTTGGCAATACTAGCCAGCACCATCTTTAAAATGTGAAAATTTGATTTTAATATATTTTTGTATTAATAGGAAAACGAAGCACGAGAAGCAATGAAAAAATATATTTTACAAAAACCAAATTTCCTAACAGTGTTTTTAAAAGACATCGTGGTAAAAAACATATTTCATCGATTTGGAAAGTACATACTGAACATGCCACAAATGCAAACTTTTTTGAAAGAAGATCATAAGTTTGATGTTGTGATAGTTGAATGGCTTTACCCAACATTTGCTGCACTAGCTGCCAAATACAGGGTGTCCGGAAAAAGGAGGTCAATCCGTTAACCATGTATTCCTTGAGTTAAAACAATAAGACTTTTATAATACCATTTTTCAATTTAGAGCTTCATGTTCGATATACAGGGCGACAATGTTTGAAATTTAAAACTGATTTTTTTTAATAATTCGAGTAATTAATAAGATATTAAGTTCAAATTCGGTACACTTCTTTAACATAAATAGTTACATCTTTTGAGATTAACAAAACAAAAAACAATTGTCAAATAATCAAAATAGGGGGGGTCCAGTACTCACTGACTCCCCCTATTTTTTAGTTCGTGCGCCAATGACTTCCAAACTTTATTTTTTCTAGTAATCATTTATTGGTAATTATTTTTTGTCTCTTATAAAATTTTGATAAAATGATTAGTTTTAGAGATAATTTGTAAAGTATTGGTCCTTGATTGATGCCTACGCGGCTTAAGGCAATCTCATAATTTTCAAATACTCTAAATCAAGTGAGCCGCTGTGGCATTACCATTGATACAATTAAGTAAAATTTTGCAATAGGTAATAATACCAAAAACCAGCCAAAAATTACCCAATCTCAGTGACGCACAGATAAAATTAATACTAAACCAGACAAATGAAATTAATTTTTCTTACTACCTCGACTCAAAATACGTTGTTTCGTCCCCGATTTCACGGCAGAAAGTTTACGTTTCTTGCATTGGTCAAGCTATACGCGCACACTCTAATAGCGGGAGTAAAAATTTTTTAGTCGCGTGCTTAACATTTAAATTTCGTACTGCCAACATGAGAAACACAAAAATATGACAGTTTTAAACCATAATTTTGCAATTATAACAACAAATAAACAATTTATGTTTTTACTTTTTTACTTTTTATGTTGTTTTAAGTGTTTAATGGTACTTTTATTTGTTATAAAGTAGTAATTTGTTAATTAAAATACAACCTTTTATTTTTACTGTATTGGCACCGCTGAATTACCATGACAACGCTACAGTTTGATTGATTTTGAATGTAAACGTCAGAATTAAATTAAACGTCAGATTTTAATTTTGACACAAATTTTTTTATATACATTTAATTTTTTCCCGTATTTTCTGCAGGGTAGTAAGAAAAATAGTATACACTACACGGGCAGAAAGTGTGAGAGTCCTGAACTGCGCGCCATGATGCCCTCGGCTTCGCCTCGGGCATCATGCCGCGCAGTGCAGGAATCTCACACTTTCTGCCCTTGTAGTGTAATATACTATTTCTTACTACCTCGACTCAAAATACGTTGTTTCGTCCCCGATTTCACGGCAGAAAGTTTACGTTTCTTGCATTGGTCAAGCTATACGCGCACACTCTAATAGCGGGAGTAAAAATTTTTAGTCGCGTGCTTAACATTTAAATTTCGTACTGCCAACATGAGAAACACAAAAATATGACAGTTTTAAACCATAATTTTGCAATTATAACAACAAATAAACAATTTATGTTTTTACTTTTTTACTTTTTATGTTGTTTTAAGTGTTTAATGGTACTTTTATTTGTTATAAAGTAGTAATTTGTTAATTAAAATACAACCTTTTATTTTTACTGTATTGGCACCGCTGAATTACCATGACAACGGCTACAGTTTGATTGATTTTGAATGTAAACGTCAGAATTAAATTAAACGTCAGATTTTAATTTTGACACAAATTTTTTTATATACATTTAATTTTTTCCCGTATTTTTTGCAGGGTAGTAAGAAAAATAGTATACACTACACGGGCAGAAAGTGTGAGAGTCCTGAACTGCGCCCCATGATGCCCTTGTAGTGTAATATACTATTAATTTTTTCCCGTATTTTCGGCCGGGTTGTATTTTCGGCCGAGGTAGTAAGAAAAATAGTATACACTACACGGGCAGAAAGTGTGAGAGCCCTGAACTGCGTGCCATGATGGCGCGCAGTGCAGGAATCTCACACTTTCTGCCCTTGTAGTGTAATATACTATTAATGCCCTGGGAAGAACTTACAATAATTACTAATTTAATCTTTACATAACAGTAAAACGCCACTATTATCGCTAGTTCAAGTCAATAATTTACTATCACTTTTTAAATAAATTTGAAGCATTATAACAAGCGCGCGTCCGAACGTGCTTGTCCAGCGCTAGGGGTCGGAGCGCGGTCACAAAAACCTTTATAACTTTTGACCTATTACAAAATAATAACTTTTTTTACCAACATTTTTGTAAAATAAGATAAAATGTGAAAAAATTAAAATCCTAGCAGGCGGAGAAGTTTTATTAATTTTCAATTGTTTAATAAAAATAGCTTCATTTTTTTTAAAAGGTTTGCCCCTAACAACAAATTTTGTATAGTAAAGTATATTTTTCAACAAAAATTTTGATACAAAAAATGTTAAGTTTTGATGAACCGTTCAGGAGTTATCAATTTTTGAAAAAAACATCCACAAAAAGTATTGTAAAAATCGATTTTTTGCAAAACTATTTTAGGAAAGTTGTTTTTACCCCTAAACCGATTGAGACCATCAATTTTTAAGTGGCACACAATTTTGAGCCAGTAGAGATGCATCATCAATTAAATTTTAAAGTCAATGTGTGGGCAGGTGTCGTTCTTTTACGTCCTGTAATTTTACCAGGAAATTTGACTGGTTATTCATTTTTGATATTTCTTCAAAATACACAGCCCGATTTACTTGATGATTTGCCTCTACTGGTAAGACAAAATATTTGGTTTCAACTAGACGGTGCTCCTCCGCATTTTGCTAGAAATGTTAGTAACTATTTACATCAAATCTTTCCTAATCAATGGATTGGTCCCACCCTGTTCCCCAGACCTTACCCCCTTGGACTATTCGGTATGGAGATATATGATAGATTTTGTGTATATGGTTCCGATTTTGAGCAAAAATCATTTAAGAGAAAGAATCCTTCAAGTAGGAGAGGAGTTCCGGTTGAAGCCAAATATTTTTCGTAGGCTAAGATTTTCTTTAATAAAGAGGGCTGTGTATTAAAAAAAATTAATTATGTTTTGGTTACTATAGTTACCAAAGTTATAACTTGTTACATATTTTAAGGAAATAATATGTTTTAAATAATTGTTATCTTGTTATAATGCTTCAAAAGTGATAGTAAATTATTGACTTATGAACTTATGATTAGTGGCATTTTACTGTTATGTAAAGAAAATTAGTAATTATTGTAAGTTCTTCTTAGGGCGATAAAATTAATTTCATTTTTCTTGTTTAGTATTACTTTTATCTGTGCGTCACTAAAATTGGGTTATTTTTGGTTAGTTTTTGGTATTGTTACATATTGCAAAATTTTACTTAATTGTATCAATGATAATGCCACAGTGGCTCACTTGATTTAGAGTATTTAAAAATTATGAGATTACCTTAAGCCGCCTAGGCATCAATCAAGGACCAATACTTTACAAATTATCTCCAAATCGAATCATTTTATCCAAATTTTATAAGAGACAAAAAATAATCACCAATAAATGATTACTTAAAAAAATAAAGTTTGAAAGTCATTGGCGCACGTACTAAAAAATAGGGGAAGTCAGTGAGTACTGGACCCCCCCTATTTTGTTTATTTGACAATTGTTTTTTGCTTTGTTGTTCTCAAAAGATGTAACCATTTATGTTTAAGAAGTGTACCGAATTTGAACTTAATATCTAATCAATTACTCGAATTATTAAAAAAAATCAGTTTTAAATTTCAAACTTTGTCGCCCTGTATATCGAACATGAAGCTCTAAATTGAAAAATGGTATTATAAAAGTCTTATTGTTTTAACTCAAGGAATATATGGTTAACGGATTGACCTCCTTTTTGCGGACACCCTGTATAATGCTCCATTAATTGGTATTACATCCTTGGGGGCGCCTATACCAGCATTGGATACTGTAGGAAACCCATCGCACCCTGTGCTAGCTCCCGACCATGATTTACCAATGCCAAGGGATTTGTCTCTTAAAGAAAGATTGATGTCAGGTTTATATGCCGTGTATGTTAGAGTATATTACCATTTGGTTGTTTTACCTAGAGAGGATGCTCTCGCAAGGAAACATTTAGGTCAAGATATTCCATACCTTGGAGACATCGAAAAAAATATTAGCCTTCTTTTGTTAAACAGAAACCCGGTATTTCACAGGGTGATGCCTGTGGTTCCTGCTATAATTGAGTTAGGGTATACGAATACAAATAAATCGGTCGAAAAAATGGATCCCGTGAGTTTTTTTAAAACTAAAGATTATCACAATAATATTAACAAATATTGTAGGAACTAAAAGATTTTATGGATAAATCAAAGAATGGAGTAGTTTATTTCAGCTTTGGTTCTAATATCCAATTATTGGAATTGCCGGAAGATAAATTAAATGCTATTTTTAATACTTTCAAGAATATTAAGTATGACATTCTATTAAAAATTAATAAGGATACTTTAGATAATAAGCCAAAAAATGTTTTAACCCGGAAGTGGGTTCCTCAATCAGCCATATTAAGTAAAACTTTTAAATGAATTGTTATATTTTTTTCAAACATAAATTTTAGAGCACAAAAATACCAAACTTTTTATTACTCAAGGAGGATTACAGTCTTGTGATGAAACTATAATAAATCAAGTACCTGTCGTAGTCATACCGTTCAGTGCTGACCAAACAACAAATGCTGATACACTAGCAAAATATGGTATGGGTAAATACCTGGGCTATAAAGACATTACAGAAGAAATATTAACCGAATATATTAATGAAGTAATCACAAAGCCAAGGTACATATAACTTTATTAATTATTTTTTTGAATATCATTATTTTTTTAATATGTTAAGGTTAAATTAGAAAATCTTAGGTCCTAGGACCAATATCTAGTGGAAGTTATTAATCTGTGGTGTTAAATCGTTAAGAATAGAACCTTGCAAAATAATCTAATATGTGATTGGGATTTAATAAATTACATTTATTTTAAGTTACAAAAAAAATGCAATGATGCTATCAAAACTCTACACTGACCAACCAACTGACGGTTTGGAGAAGGCCATCTGGTGGATAGAATATGTATTAAGGCATAAAGGAGCTTCACACTTAAGGTACCCATCATCAGATCTGCCCTTGTATCAATACCTCATGTTGGACGTATTGTTGTTAATTGTTCTAGCTTTATCTGTTTTAGTTTTAGTTTTAATAATAACTGTTAAATTATTTATTTGTATAGGTAGGAAAATGTTTGAAAAAAAGACTAAAAAAGAATAAAATAAGTGTTTATAAAATTGTAGATACAGTTACTAATATTAAAATTATATATTTAGGAATCGAAGTTAATTGTTTTTATTATTAATCGCGGTCTGTTCCTTCCCCTAACCCTCTCAAGCCATTAAAAATATTTGCACTTGGATACTTAAGTACAACAAAAGAAAATAAACAATATTATGAAAATATATCTATGTATAAGTACACAATAAAATGATTTTTAATTATACGCGTACGCGTACAATTTTATAGTTAGGTACTCAGTAAAATCCAGTTAAACCTTAATATTAATATGAACCCAATTAACATAGGTTTTAAATAAACCATAAATTATTTATTCAAAACTTCATTATACAGGCTTAAAACATATTTAAATTAACAGGCGGGTAGTGATTACAATTTATTTACATTTTAACATTAACTTTATCACCTAATGTATTAACTTATTAACTTGGATATTTTATAAATTTTGTTTTTGCAATGCACAAATAAATTGTTTATCTTTAAGCGTTATATAATTTAAACTTTATTATTGTCAACACTCAGTGATTGATATTGCCCAGGCTGTAATAATAATTTGGACCAATCAAAAAATTCATCTGCTGTCAGATCTACCAAACGCCACTTTCTACTTTTAATAAATATTATTATAATTGTAGGTTTTATGTATCGTTTGACAAATAAAATTGCCAAAGAAAATAAAACATTGTGTGCTATTCGGCTACGCATCGGCCTTTAAACTTTAAGCTCAGCACAAAAAGATGCACTCTTCAGAATTTTGACATAAATACCTATTATTCAACACCTGCAAGAAATATGTAACTTCGTAGTCCTACTGTGTGTTGGCGAAATAACTAATAACTAATAATTTTATTTTATTCGTTCTTTGTACTGAAATTTAATACATAATTTTAATATATTTAAATATAAAATTTATTAAAATATAAAAATTGCTGTTATCATTTATATAAGTATTCCAAAACCAAAGTATTATGACATGTCATGTCATAATGAAAGGTTTATTTATTTGTTTTTATTTTACCGCGATATTTTCTAATTCACGATGTGCAAATATATTATCATATAAAGTCACAGTCATCAAGTAATGTTTGAACCAGTGATCAAAGAACTATTAAACTTTTATTTTTATTTTGATTTATATTACTGTTAAAAAACCTGCAAAGTGTTTATAATTTATAATTATTATTTCCCATGAAATGTTAAAAATTAAAAAAACAATTTTGTAGACGGTGTAAAACAATAATGCCCTAATTTTTAAAGCAGTGTTTTTTCATTGCCAATAACAATATTTTAAGTAATCTTTTTAAAATAATAAATAATCAATATATTAAAAAATAAATAGTTAGTTATTTTTAATAGTTTACTGGTAAGGACCGGATTTTAACCTATTGTAATTATGTACCTTTAACAATTAAATAAATCTTAATTAATGCATTTTAAACTTTTTATGTTCTTCTATATTTAATTATTTACTTATATCCTGTCTATAACCCGTGATTTCTTTTTTCATAGATACTCGAGTGGTGTATATTATACACCTCAAAAAATACCCTGGTTTTGGAATAATTAGTCAAATTTACATTTTTTGGTAGGTAGCAATATGTTATTTGACAATGTGCGTAATATTTTACTTTATTTAAATTTATTCTAGTAATTGTTATAATTATAATTATTATACACCAAGACAAATAAATATGAATTTATTTACTGTACCTTGTAAAGTGTATAGTGTACACTGTACACTAAACAAACAAAGAAAAAATTCATGCAATTATCGCAAAAATTGCGAAAGTGGTCTATAAAATACACCAGCGCGTGTAATTTAGGGTTACAAAAACAACAAAGTTAAAATTATACTTTATTTTTATGTTTTTAATCTTAACTGCCTAAAACTCCGGTCTTTATTTTTTAATACCATAAGAATCACGTCTTAAAAAATGTACATTTTTCTATTTCTAGTTATATTAAAATGTATGTTTTATTATTTAATATTTCAGACAAATAAGGTGTACAACAGTTTTGATTGTATAACATGTTTCAAGTTTTACAGGCTAAGTTGGTGATAATATTTTATTAAAATTAAGTTTCTATATTAATGTATTAAAAAATATTGACAACAATTTTTAAAATAAAAATTTCCATACCAAATCTTTTATAAAAAAAACGAGGGAATAACTATTTTTTATATAGGTGAGTAATCAACAATAATCTTATTTTTCATAAATAATTATGGTATGAAATTAACGAAAATGTTACATGCAGCCTTATAGACCGTATAGACCATCGAATTACTAGAAAAAATATGTTACAAAAAAGTAGTGGAAAACTTCCAGAAAAAGGGAAGAGACTCTTAAGTCCATGTTATATGTTTCCCAATCTTTTTCAAATATTTAGTATTGTTTTTAGTTTTCGGCTTTCGTTTTGAGTTTATCTCATAAATATTTCATATACATATTCATATGTATATTGTTAAAGATTTTAAAAATTACTTTTTATTAGTTTTACCCCATGAAGTATATGAAGATTTAATCATTTTGGTATGGCTAGTTTTAAGAATATTTAAATTTAAATATTTTTACTTTCTCACTCTTCAAAGCAAGTAGCTAAGAGAGTATTAAAATCAGCATGAGATGACCCAGAAATATGTTAATTAGGTGTTTTGAAATCACCTTAATATAGTGTATGGTCTGTGATATTCCTCTTTGCCGGTCTGTCACGCAATACCTCTTAAACCTAAGCCAATTTGGACGAAATAAAAAAAAAATAGTGTTCGACCTAAATAATGAAACGCATTTTATTTAAATTAGCCAACGAAAATGTAGTTTTTTAGGGGTTAAAAATTAAATAAAATCAATTTTTTTTTAACAAAATATATTGAACTATGGTTTTCGGATTTTTTAGTTACCAAATTTTTTGTCAGAGCTCTAGTTTTTGAGATATTAAAAAAGATAACTTTTCAAACACAGTAGCAAAACATATCTTTTAATATTCTAGGCAAACTTTTATGGTGCTAAACGTTTTAGATATCATCAAAAAAATAAACTTTTTTATGTATTTAAAAAATTTATAAGAACATTTTTTGTTGTAGTAATTTATTTTATATTTTAAGTGTTAACTATATATATATATATATATATATATATATATATAGGGTGGTCGTTAAAAATTAAATTTTTTGCGACGCCCCCTAAAAAGCTTCTTTTTGATGAAAAAACACTGGGAATTTTTTTTTAATTAAAAACAACTCGATCTAAGTTAATTTTTTGTTATAATCATGTTTTTTTGGGAATTTTTTAAGAAAAATAAAATTTTATTCGAAATATAAACAATTATAGAACCCAAATCAATAAAAAAACAATAGTTAATCGAAATAACAATAGACAAAAATTTAAATTCAAAATTTTTCCCAGTTTATTTGGTCTATTAAATAAAAAAATTAAAGATATTCAAATTGATATTTTTATTTTAAAACTAAATTAGTATAAAAGTAATTTTAATACCTAGATTTCTTCACTACAAATATCAAAAAAATTATTATTCCATATTTTCAGAAAAGACATGATTATACCAAAAAATTAACTTAGATCTTGAGGTACGTGTTGTTTTTAATTAAAAAAAGAAAAATTCATGAATGCAAAAAATTTGTATTAGTTAATTTTTTTTCAAATATTTTTTACAGATTAATGGTAATATTTAAGGTCATTATAAACTTATATAAAACTATCGATTAGCAATAAAAACTGCTTAATCTATAAATAAAGAAGGAACTTACTCATTAACGAAAATATTCGATTGTGCAGTATTTACGTACGTGATACCTTATAATGTATTGTATTGATAAAACGAAATATTAAACAATAATTGTTAAGTATTAATAGGTGTTTGAGATAATTTTTAAATAAAAATTTACTGCCACTTTTAAAATAGTTTCATGACGTCTTGATAATACAAAGTTAATAAAACAGATTAAATAGTTATTGATTCCCAATTTGCAAGTTTTATTAGGTTTTTAAAACATATTTTAGTAAGATATACAATCAGTATTTTTTAAATTTATAATAAATTGAGCAATGGTTTTTGTTGATTTTATTAAATATCATTACCTCTTTCGGAGTTTGTGAAGGATATTTATAACAAATACATATAATAGTTTATAAATGTTACTGTTATACTATAATAATGTATACTTTAATTTAAATAAAATTAAACAAACTGCAAATAGGAAAAGATTATTAATTAAAACATGTTAATATTTTATAAACCTAATTAGCAATAAGTAATTACATTATAATTTAATTTAAGCCAATTATTATATGTTAAAATTTTATTTAAGTTTACTTAAAGTTTCATTAGGTTTTTTAGTATTAGTATTTTAAATACCGAAACTAGTGGCAAATAGCAAAGAAGTATAAATCTTATTTAAATTTAAAAAATTCTATACTTAAAGTGTTTGTTTGTTTTAGAAACATTTTTGTGGATCCTTCATCCTCCTTTTAAGTATCTTAGGTCAACGAACAAATTTCATATCGACAAAATTCAAAAAAGTGTGCATACTTTAAATCATAAATTTTAAGATAAGAGAACAATAGAGAGTGATATAATCAATGCAAATGATCAATAAACCGTATAAAATCAATCAAAAATCTATTATCGCCCTCATTTAAGCGAAAGCCGTTCGCAATGATCAAGTTGCTTTTGACCATTGTATGCTGCGTAGCGGCTGTTAACAGTGCAAAAATTATAGGAATTTTTATGACACCTAGTTACAGTCATCAAGTTGTGTTTCAACCAATATGGAAGGAGTTATCCTTACAAGGACATGATGTTACAGTGATAACTACGAACCCGCTCAACGATCCAACTTTAGTAAACCTGACGGAAATCGATATTGGTGATTTTAGTTACGCCGAGTGGAAAAAAAGTTCCTTACTAACATTAGGATTAAGACCTCACAGCGTGACTGAAGAACTCCAGGAAATTTCAAAAGCCTACATGAATTTATCGCACGTGCAACTATCACACCCAATATTCCAGGAGATAATCAAAAATCAAAGTAAGCACCACTACGACCTCTTTTTGGTGGAGTATCTTTGGCCGAGCATGTACCCATTCAAAGACATCTTCAACTGTCCCATGGTTGGAATTCTCTCATTGCCAATGGTGAGCAGTTCTTACTCTTATATGGGTATGCCTCATCATCCAGTTTTAGACCCCGATATGATTCTACCTTTTGCCACGGATTTAAGTTTCCAAGAAAGAATTGGTAGTGTGGCATTTAACCTTGTATTTAAACTCGCCGGTGCTATTCAGTTGGCCCCCAAAATCAACGCTCTCAACAGAAAATATTTCGGGGAACATGTCAGGCCTTACAGGGATATCGCCAAGGAAGTTAGTTTGGTTATTGTGAACAGCAACATGGTTAATGCCAATATCAAACCATTGATACCACAAGTCATTGAGATTTCCGGAATACACATCAAACCAAAAAAGCCATTGCCAAAAGTAAGTGTTTTATAAAATCAAATTAATATTATATTAAACAAAATTTTTTGTAGGATTTGAAAGCAAGTTTGGATAACGCTCAGCAAGGAGTCATATATTTCTCCCTTGGAACCAACATGAAAAGCAACTCTCTCCCCAAAGAAAAGACGAAGTTATTCTTGGATGCTTTCGCTGAACTTCCCTATAAAGTAATCTGGAAGTTCGAAACAGACGATATTTCCGACCTTCCCAAAAACGTGGAAGTTTGGAAATGGCTACCCCAACAAGACCTCTTGGGGCACAAAAACATTAAACTTTTTATAACACAAGCTGGAATTCAATCGATCGATGAATCAATGTACAATAAAGTCCCGTTATTGGCCATCCCATTCTTCGCCGACCAGAGGTTTAACGCCGACAAAGTAACCAAAAACGGCGGAGGTTTGTCTCTTGATTACCACTCATTTACGAAAGAAGAATTAAAAGAAAAAATCCTTACAATCATCGAGGATAAAAAGTAAGTAATTTAAGTAACACTCGTAGATGTTATCTCAATTTTTTAATTTAATTTATATGGTTTATTACAGATAACTACTTTAATTAAGTACATTGTTTAACAATAGATTAGCGAGTACTACTGCGTACTTTGTAAATTCGATATTTATAGTATTATAATATGATATAATATTGTCATTTCAGATATAAGAAGCGAGTGGAAAAATTGGCAGCAATCGCCTTTGATCATTCAGTTTCACCATTAGAAAAAGCAGTGTGGCATGTTAATTATGTTTTAAGGCATGACGGTGCCGGTCACCTCAGATACAAGGGTTTAGATATTCCAACATATCAATACTTCATGCTTGATGTTATAGCTGTGTTCTTGATTGTTATTTTATTTGTGTTTTTGACTCTTCTTAAGATTAGCCAGTTTGCTATCAGAAAATTAAAAAAATTGTATTCGGCATATGATGCTATGTTTTTTGGCAAAAGCAAAACGCTGTAAATAATTGTATTAATGTTTTGTTTGGATATTCTAAACGTACAAGAGAGATCTTATTGTGATGACTTAGGCTAGGTTTTATACTGTGTTATAAAATTATAATACAAAAAATTATATTTTAATTTGTTTGTTTTAATCAATCTTTTACCCATTTAAATAAGCTATCCTCAGGTTGATATTCTATAGTGCTCACATCATAAGTATCATAAGTATCCAAAAAGGGTAGAGGTTTATTTCTTGATATCTAATTTACGAAAGAAGAATTAAAAGAAAAAACTCTTACAATCACTGAAGATAAAAGTAAGTATTTTATAAAATCAATGTAGTCGCTGCATTTGTATTACCCCAATAACTAAACGTTGAAAGGCCCTTACCTGTCAGGATAATCAATATGGTTTATTCCCAATAATTATTCAAATTCGATGCTTAGTCTAACAATAGATTAGCGACCACTAGTGTATATTATGTAAATTCGTATATGAATATTTACTAATTATGAAGTTAATTCACATTATTAATGTTTGTAATATTTTAAATAAAATAAACGAATGTATAATTTATTGACATAGCTTTTAAATATGTCCTTTTTCCAATAGGCAGTGTGACATGATGGAGCCAGTCATCATTGTACAAGCATAATTAAAAAAATAGAATTTTTGTATTGATTAAACACAAAAATTTAGTTTAGACATTTGTATGTTTATGAAGCGATGGTTAATTGAAATATAATAATAAAACATACAAAATAACCTTAATTATGGTAATTGGCTTCCTGTATGCTATTAAACAAGAATGCGAGCTGAATTTCAAATAGTTATAATAATTCCGGTGAATAACTTTATAAACTTATTTTAAAAATCTATTGGTGACATTTTGAACCTAAGGGTTGTGCGAAAGAATGGAAGTGCAGTAATGAAAACCCGGCTAGTGTTAACCTTGCACATTTTATTCAGTGACCCGCATTTGTTGAGAAAACCTCTCTCTCCACAGCTAGCTTTTAACATGAAACTGTCTCTAACATAAAATACTGAGTCTTCAAGATACCTATTTCCATAACGTCGACACCACGGCCAAATAAAAACAGTGAGACGGTCGAAATTACTATATGGTATTTTATCGGGACAAGTGTTTTTTTATTGCAAACTTATGTGAGTGCCACTAAGCGCATCTGCCATTGACGTACCTCTAAAATTGAAAATAATACTCTAAAAATATATAATACGAGGTGTGTTCAGAAAATATCGGGAATTTTCGTTTTTTGAAACAAATATTTATTTATTCGTCTACATTAATGTTGTCGCCTTCAAAATAGTCCCCATTGGATATTATGCACATGTGCCAGCTCTTCTTCCAATACTCGAAACACTTCTAAAACTCGATCTTTGGGATAGCCTTTAGTTCTTTCAGCGATGCGCTTTTAATGTCATCTATGCTTGCAAAAAGTCAGACAGAGGCATGTCTGGCGAATATGGAGGCTGGGGCATCATTACAGTATTGTTTTTGGCCAAAAATTTTGTTCAAAATTTAACAATTTTAGAACAAATTTTGCTGCAACGCGTTTCATACCCAAAACATTCGAAAAAATTTCATGGGATGAGCCAATCGATATACCAACATCATCAGCGACTTCTCTGATGGTTTATAACCATTTCTTCCACTTTTTTTATGTTTTTATCGGTTGTAAATGTGCTTGTGCGTTCGGGGCGTTCGTCATCTTCAACGTCTTCACGGCCATCTTGGAAACTCTTATACCACTTGTAAACTCTTGTTTTACCTATAGCAGACTCACTATAGGCCTTTGTTAACATTTCACAGAATTTATTTCATTTTTCAAGCAAAATTGGATACAAATTCTTTGATCCATTTCTTTCAACGAACGAAAAATCGCCGAGCTCCTAAAACACGTCCAACCTTAGCGGCTGCCACAGACCAAGTAAACAATGAAAATAGCTAAAGTTTTGATGAAATAACATTGTCATTTTGACTATAAATTACCTTATGGTTTTAACTTTAAACCTAAAAAAATGTATAATAAAAGTATAATTGCTAATTTAATAAAAAATACAAAAGTAAACTTGGTAAATGAGCAATGAGCAATGTTAATATCGACTAAATTATCCTTAACCATTAACAAGGTACTTCAGTTGCTACCCACCTCGATATAGGATTAAAGTACATCCAAATGCTGGACTATAAATTACAGGTCGATTTAGTACAGAATTTGCAGTAACTTTGTTTTAACGCTACCGCAACGATTTTCGCAGAAAACGAAACCGCTGTACAGACTTTCGATCCTGGTTCGCAGGACGTGCGGTTCCTGCTGACCGAGGGTCAGTTTGCGGCTTCTTTGTCGCTGAATTATTAAAACGCCCCGCTTGTCCGCTTAAAATTTTACAAAGAATTTGGCCGCCTGCATTTTTAATCGCGTTTATTTGGTTTTGTAGTTAAACATTTATTTTTTATTGATGGTTACTGATTTCATTTTAAATATTATTATAAGTAACAATATAGTACCTTTGTATGATAACATTTTTATTTGAACTTGTTTTTGTAAATTAATTTTTTGTTTGCCATCAATTAAGATAACAATTTTTAGATAGTTAGAGAAGTACTTCTAAGATAAAACATCTCATTACAACAAAAATTGTTATTTACCCATTTTTAACTATTGTCATTGAAATAAACTATTAAAGATAAGCGACAATAAATATAACGTTATAACTAGAGACCGGGTTCTATGCAAAATGCCTATACTGAATACAAAAAACACCAGAAATATGTCTGTGAGTTTTTATGTTGACACACGCGGGTTTGACAAATGTCGGCAAATTTAATATATCACATGGATATTTCACCATATATATCAAAATCTACACTTAACTACACGTTTTTGTTGATGCTCTTAAACTCTCCAGTACTCAAGCTTAATTATCGAAAAAAAAACTTTTGCCGAATTTTGCCTATCCAGGAGAAAACGCAAGATTTTCTGTGTGGTCTTTTACAATTTGATTCAAAATAAAGCTCTATTCGGGTATTAGGCCTAGATTGTAAAAGACTTTTTGAATATGTGATCTGTCATTTTGAAAGTTTTGATGTTTTTTTTTCGAAATGTCATATTTAAGGCAATTTTAGTGGTTTTAATGGATTTTTTTAAATTTTTTTTGTTTAATCGTTTGAGCTGTGGTGCCTATAAATTGGCAGAGTAATTTTAAAATACCCCGAAAACAAGAAAAATTTATTATTAAAAATCAAAATAGTTGAGTTTTTTTTAATATAAAGTGTGACCCATTTGTTTGCGACTCACCCCTGTAAAATCTTTATTTATTGTGCGATTTTAACCGGATTTGTTTTAAAGTGTAGATCTTAATAAACTGTATTTTTGTAGTTGTAGAAAATACAAGGCTTACTATATTAGTTTTTAAGAGTAAATTTTTAAGAATTCATATTGGCGATTTTTTTAAACAAAATATTAGCACGGCACTGGAGTCACTGCCCCTCAAAACTTTTTCGTGCCAACTTTACCTTTTTGATTTTTTAAGTTCCTAAAAGTCCGGTCTTTAGTTGTAACGTTATAAATATAACGTTTTTATTTGCTTTGAAAGCCATTTATTTAAAAATTTGGCTAATAAATTCCTAATTAAATTTTGCATCTGCTACAGCAATAAAAATATAATGGCTATAAATTAACACCTAGTTAATTTTATGGGGGAATTTTTAATGAACGCCGTTAAGAACAAATTTACTGGTGTTAATATTTTTACCAATAAAACTCGGTGATAATAAATATCTAATCAAAATTAGAATAGAAGTACAGATAACAGTAAATTTTATAACATTTAAAGTTATCCTCCTTTTTTATAAGGGCATTATTCATTGATAAACAAGAATATATTAGAAACAAGGACAATTAAAAAATATATATATATATATATAACGAATTCATTCAAGACTAAACGCGTTTATAAAATTTTTATGATAAAAATACTAAAGTAAAAGGAAACGCGTGCCTCATTAGTGTTAGTCAATTTCAAGTATGTTTTAAACTAAAAATTTCGTCATTCCTGCTGAACTTTTAGTACCAATATTATGACTTTTGTATTAGTCCAATAAAAAACTTTTAATTTTAAAATTTCCTGCATGTACAATTTTGCCGTTTAAAAACTTTTTTTTAATTACCTATACAAAATTTAGTATTGGGTATTTTAAAAAGTTTTTACGCCTAATTTAATTAAATATTAAGCTCATTTTTAATAAACTTTGTTAAACTAAATTTGCTCCATATTAATCAATACAATTTTGTAATTTTTCGAGTTAATCCATTAATTAATTGGTTAATAAATTCTGTGGTTTTTAAGCGAAAAACAACAGTTTTTACAGGCCTCTTAGAAATCCAAAAATGTATTTTTTACTGTATTTAAAATCTTTATTTTAATCAATATTGATATTTAATCCGATTTTTTTTAAATTATATTGTTTTAAAAATATGAGGGCTTTGTCTCTATTTTTAATTTTCGATCTGATATGGCAAGATTCGGGAAGAAAAAGACCCAAAAAAATAAATTAGGCATTAATCCCTGCTTTTCGTGACACATTACAAGATAAAAATTTGTCGTTAGATAGAATGGCCAGGTACGTGTTGCTTGAGGCTGGATATTAAAACTTTTTTCTGCAGAATTAAGCGAGTGAAACTGTGATGCGCTGGAAAATTTACAACGCCCTTAATACCCACTGTCAAATTAAACGTTTTTTGGACACTTCTTATAATTTAAAAGTGTAATTGCCTATTTATTAGACCTGTAGATTTTTATGAGATTAAATCCTTTAAAATATACTGTCTTGCAAAGTCCCCGCTAAACTTTATTAAAGTGTCCTTCTGTTGGTAATAAAGGTATAAAAATTATTTACGGCATCCCTATATAACCCTTAGGGTAAATAAAAAACACTTAAGAAGTTTCACTTCCACTTAAAAAAACTCCATAGATTGTCTTTCAAAATAAATGCGCTCAATCTGGATTATATTACAATTTATAGCATTGTAAAATAAGACTTTTAGAACATATTAAAAATATATTTGTATAGAAAAAATAATAAGAATATTTTATTAAACCAATATAGCGAAATAGTATATTATGTAACAAGAGTTGTAAGATAACA